CTTGTTTAATATTTCTCACCTTTAAAGCTTTTCACTTTATTTACTGTGGCAAACTACAGGTTCTTTTTCATACGATGAGTTTACGTGCTTTTCTATAAGATATATTGAATAAAAGATGGGTAAAGTTCAGAAGTTTCCCTGAGATAAAAAAAGTGAAGTTGAAACGAAGGGCTCTATTTAGCTATCTTGTAATTCTACTGTGCATTGTGTTTCCAAGTTTTGTCATAAATGATGACAAAAAAATGCATTGTGGTTTGTTTTAATCTTGAATTCTGCGCCATGAAAATATTTTTTCAAATGCTCTTATGCACAATGATAGTAAATTAGTTCTGTGGTTGCGTTGAAATTGAGCGTCTGTTTTCCAGCAAATGGTTGTACTTCTGAATCAAAAAATTTAAACCCGAGCCATTCTTTTTCTTTTTCGAAAAAAGAACATTTGTCCATTTCACCTCCATGTTGCTTTTACCGAGAGTTCTAAAGAACCAGCAAAAAAAACGGATCTTTTGAGCTACTTCGTAGTCCAATGGAATTTCGTAGATTGTAAAATTTAATTCGTTAATTCGGTTTTTTCATTTGCATATTTACTTTCGCACGCTTGTTTTCGATCTACAGTTTTCTAAAAAAATTTTTGTTCTTACATGTGGTATAGGTAGTTTCCTTCGTTAGGCATATGTTCGATAGGGTCGCAGATTTGTAGATCTTTGGAGTTTACAGTTCTGCATGTTAAAAATAATTTCATCAATAAGTAATTCTAGTTTTTCTTGCCCATGAGCTAATACCAACATTCTCGTAAAATCGATGTTTTCTTTTTGAATTCGATCTCAACTTTTTCTATTCCGTTGTTTCCCATATAGGAATTTGGTGCGTTCAAAGCTATTTTCATCGGTTTCGTAAATGATGCTTCTGAATTTTTTTAAAAACTGATAAATGAGAAGCTTAAAATTTTGAAGCGGGCATTTTTTTGATTGAATACCTTTTACTCTCTGCGACAGAGGCTACAAAAGAAAACTGCTTTTTTTTGTCTGCTTTTTTGAGATCTTGCTGTTAAAAAACCTTGTGTTTTTGTCTGCCCAGATCATAATTTTGCGTCTGTTTCATGTCTTCTCATCCTGACTTTTAGCTGTCGTTGTCCGAGTTAATTTTGGTTAAACTAGAAAAAATTAAAATGCTAGCTCTTTTGGCTCCAAGTTTTGGCTCGAATCGTTATTTGAGTGCGCCATAAAATATTGACCTAATAATCTAACAAATCTAAAACGTTATAAGAGTGAAAATAATAAAGCTGACTTAAAAACGTATTCTATATAGGCAGGGGCGGATTTCTATATAGGTGGACGTTTCTTCTTTCAGCGATTCGACTCCCTGCCGACCCCTTTGTACTATTTTGAGACATCTATACTTGGTAACGGATCCAAATTTGAGAAGGGAGCGTACGCGCCAAAAAAACTCGCGCCGAGTCAAAATTTTCCAAAAAAAGCCTAAAAACGCCTTTTTTGGCCTGTTTTTCAAAGTTTTGCCTGCGCCAAAAATGTTACCAAAACAGGGTTTTTAGTGCTTTGGGAGAGCTTGAATAATCAATTTAGTCGACCTTCGACCTAAAAAAAAGGTCAACAAAATTTTAGAAAATTTGTTGAAAATCCGCCCCCCCCCCCCTCGAGAAAATCCTAGATCCGCCCCTGTATATAGGTAAAATAACGTGAACTGCGTCTTTTTGTGTACGCTGTCTTTTTGATGCGAGGTGTCGAACTCCGTCTGAAAGATTTTGCTCATTTGCTTGCCTAGGTTATTGCTTCTTAATGGAGAGTGATATGCAGTGCAAGTTTCAGTACCATATGTCCGTTTGGATCTTTCTCACCCCTGATTGGCTCGCAGTACCAGTGTCTGTTGATCGCCTCAACGCAATCCAGTTTCCTGTCTGGTACGTATGTCAGACAATTAACTGATCTTGATTTCAGTGTTTCAACTTCTGAAATCGTATGTTTGTTGACTGTCTTTAAATTGTTTTCTCAAATTTAAAACCAATTAAGCACTCTTCTGCTACAGAAGAAAACAAACTCTATAGACGCAGTTTGAGTGTTCTCTCTCTAAACTTCACGTTGGAGAGATGTTACACTGTCCTTTTTTGAAACATGAACATTTTTTATTAACAATATAGTTTTTGAAGAATACATCAATTTTACTCTCCAAACATGTGTAATCTGAACGTTATGGTAATTTGTATAACTAACTTTTTTCAAAAGTGATAAAGTTCTATCAAGTATTTGACCCTCTCACCAACCAAAGGGTCTCCCCTTTGGTATTATTTTAAGAAATCCATTTCAGGACGACCAACCATAAAAATATTTCTAAATATACTAAATATACTAATTTTGAAGGAGAGCATTTTCCAAAAAGTGCCAAAAAACGAAAATCAGTTTCTCGGAAACTCAATTTGGTCGATCTAAAAAAAACACTTCTGACTCTGACTTTTTTAAGTCCTAACATTCTTAAAATAATTTACATTCCCGAGTTGACCTCCATACACCGAAAATGCTTGTCATACAATTCCATACATCAAGTGAATGGAAACATTTTTGTCATGCAATTTTTGTACAATTTCGAAAATGGTTGAAAAAAAATATAAACTAGATTCTGCGGCTGTTTGATTCTAATAAAACAGTATGGTGATGAAAAAACAGATGTTTTTGTTTTTGCAAAAAAAATGCTTATCATACAATTCCCAAATATGGAAAATGTATGACTAGAATTTTTTAGTTGGAGACACAATTTTTGAAATTGCCCTAAACATTTTTTTGTTTTTTTTAACCGCAAATCGATTTTTGTACGTAGTCCTGGATACACTAACGTAGTCCTGGATACACTAACGTTGGAGTTTTTTTTTATTTTTTGCGTACTTACTTTTTTCGAAAACGTTGAAAGCTCCTTTTTTTCTATGGCATGTTTAAACATGCCTTTATCAATGATCGTTAAAAATTTTGCCAAAATTTAAAAGTTTACAAATTTCTTTCGTTATACCATTTGTGAAATACAGCTTAAGTCGTTTTCTATGCATTATAATTGCAAGACCCGTCCAACTTTTGGTGCTTTGAATAAACCAAGGTGTTTGTTACTTGCGTTGGGTACGAACATGGCCCAAAATTTTTCAGAAAGTTATTTTAGAAAAAAAACGTTTTCGTTTATTGAAAAAATACTCGTTATACATTTTTAAATTATAGAAAACTGCTTATCAACGAACTTTCATACACTTTTCTCTACGCATGGAATTGTATGGTAAGAAGTTTTTCATATATGGAAATTGTATGATAAGAAGTTTTTGTCAACCCGGATTCTTTAATTCATGATTTTCGTTTCAGAAAATTGCTGTGTTCATAATCAAGTTCTGAAAACAAAAGAATAGCAAATTCTTCAATCAAAGAAATGTAGTTTATTCAAAATTTGCTGTCAAGTAAGCTAAATGGAACAAATTTTTCAAAAACAAACCATACCCTAAAGGGCTTGGCAAAAATTTTGATACTGGCAAGTGTTTTAAATAATTTGTTTACTTAAAAACTTTTCAAAAAGGATAGCCAGTGAATGTGCTAGTAGCGCACACTAGTCCAACCATTTTTGCAATAAAAGTAAAAATCGAAAACAAACAAAAATGGTTTTCGGGTGAAGCCGGGAGGGCACCAGTAAAAGCTCTCGAACTTGTTTGCCAAAATTAGCGCAACCAAAAAAAAGGTCTGTCAGAAAACTCTACTCTAAATTGGTCTTTTAAGAGTAGCCAAAATATCAGATCAATTTTTCTTGACCGTTTTGAAATTTTTTGGAATCCGTTATTATGAAACCGTTTTTTGATTATGATACCACGTTTTACCAACTAAGCTTTTCTCTGAGTGCTTGAAATTGAGCGAAAAAAAAACAACGTCATTGTTTCTTCGCTTCATTTGATGAAGTGGATCGAACAATTGGTGAGTTAACAAAAATCATGAATAAGTCTGACAAAAAAGTCCAAAAGCTACTCAATTGATAACTTTGACAAATGACGCCAAAAACTGTCCTGCTTTTTGAAACATCAAACTTCAACATAAACACAATCGAAGAACCAAAAATAGAATTATAAATGAAACAATTATCAAGACTGTAGGGATTAGTATTTTGAACTCAAAACTTTAAAGCTTAGGGGACCAAGTTTACATAAATGTACAGCGGCACACATAACTATTAAGTAACAATGCTAAAATATATTAATTTCATATTTGGAGAAAAACTAAGGCAACAGAAACGCCGCTAAGAGAACGATCTGATTTCTTTAACAAAAATCTTCACCAGGGTTGTGAATTTAATTTTTACCACGCAAAATGTCTCAAGGGAAAAAAGCTTAAATTGAGAAATCTGATGATCGCTGCTAATTTTTTTCTACAACCACTTCAAAGTCAAGTATAATGCGTATCGCGGATTCATCTTTCGAAATACTCATTTTCGAAATACTCAAGATTCGTGTTGCGTCAAAACGTCTACTTTTATCCTCATCACGCAAAACGTAAGCAATGGGTGTAAGACATCTTTGAACTGGAACGTACATAGCGTATATTTAAAAAATATAGTATGAACAGTAGAAAAACTTCAGACATAGGGTCGCAAAAAGAGTTTGTCGCGGCGTTACGTCCGAGGTACTCCTCGATCTTTACGATTTACTGAACCCACGTTTTTTGATGGGGCAGGAATGGGAAAGCAGCAGTGATTATCCACAGTTGTTTCCTATTTTCTTTTTTGTCCGAATACGTTCATAACAATTGTTTTGTGCGCAGCGCCATGAAATTGGTTTATACGGCAGAACTCGTTGTTTAAATTGAGTATATCTTTTAAAATGCGATAGATCAAATGTTTTGATGGTAAATAATATTTTCATCCTTTTTTGGAGATTTTTACAACAATGGACTGCCACCAAGTGTTTCCAGAAACAAACAAAACTGCTCGTATCAGGGCGAGTCCCTGAATGTTCCGACTGCCTTTTAAAGTTTATGGAGCAGCAGTAATAACAAAAAAAATAAATGTAATAAAATAAAATGAAATTTTTTCTTCTGAAATTTGAATCTTTTTTAATGAAAAACATCCCCCCACACACCATATAAAGTACAAAAAGATAAATTTCGCTCCTTGTAACAAATCAATTATGGCAAATAAGCTTTTTTCAACCAATTTGGAACAATTTCTAAGACGGATTAACTCTCCGCTTACGCGTTAATAGCGCGAAATATATCGCGCGTTGATTGTCCCAAATTGGCCAAAATGGCAATCTTTAAACCCCCGTGACTTTACAAAAAATGATCACAGATGAAATATATTTTCAAATTTGAGCTCAGGACAACAATACCTTTCGAATGATATGAAAAACATTCCGTCAAAAATGGCTAGTTAAAAAGTCGAAATTTGTCTGAAGAAAAAAAAACCCACCCCGAGCACATATATTCCGTTATTTTCGTATCGAAAGTCGGAACAATAAAATGAGCAAATAGTTTATTAATCGTCGGAAAAAGCTGTTTGTTGTGGTAACTTAATTGTTTTGCTGATCGTTGGACATAATGCAATTATCAAGATAGTTTTAATTTCTCTGCCATGCATATATTTGTCAACCAGATTAGTTAAAGCAAATTTAAAAATTTTTCTAGGTGACAAGGTCACTTTTAAAATTAATCCGACAAAATCTTTTTCTATCACTATAGGACACAAATGCAATTTTTACCAATGGGTTTTGTACTGGACTGTTCTTGCTGGGCTCTGATATGATTTTTTGAAAAAAAATATCCAGGATTGTTTAGTTATATCTTGAAAACCAAAAATCCACGGAGTTTTCTTTCCAATTATCGAAAAAAGCGAAGAAATATTTGTGCCTGGGTTTTTTATATTTTATCCAAACCACTTTCGATTGTTTTTCTAGCCATTTTGAAGGGATTTTTTTTATTTAATCTGAAAGATCTCCAGAGCTTATATTTAAAAAGCTTTTCGGCTTGTGATTTTTTCGTAAAGTTATGCAAGTTTAAATATTGCTAAATTGGGAAAATTTACGCGGGACAAAGTTTGTGCTATCATCGCGTAAGCGAAGATATAATCCATCCTAGAAATCGTTCCAAACTAAAATGGAGCTGCTATGCTATTTTGTTTTATGCGAAATGATTGTTTAGTTATATCTGGAAAACCAAAAATCCACTTTAGCCAATGGGTCTCTTTTAAACGGCTTTGTACTGGACTGTTCTTGCTGGGCTCTGATATGATTTTTTGAAAAAAAATATCCAGGATTGTTTAGTTATATCTTGAAAACCAAAAATCCACGGAGTTTTTTTTCCAATTATCGAAAAAGCGAAGAAATATTTGTGCCTGTTTTTTTTTATTTTATCTAAACCATTTTCGATTGTTTTTCTAGCCATTTTGAAGGGATTTTTTAAATTTAATCTGAAAGATCTCCAGAGCTTATATTTAAAAAGCTTTTCGGCTTGTGATTTTTTCGTAAAGTTATGCAAGTTTAAATATTGCTAAATTGGGAAAATTTACGCGGGACAAAGTTTGTGCTATCATCGCGTAAGCGAAGATATAATCCATCCTAGAAATCGTTCCAAACTAAAATGCTATGCTATTTTGTTTTATGCGAAATGATTGTTTAGTTATATCTGGAAAACCAAAAATCCACTTTAGCCAATGGGTCTTTCTTAAACGGTTTTGTACTGGACTGTTCTTGCTGGGCTCTGATATGATTTTTTGAAAAAAAATATCCAGGATTGTTTAGTTATATTTTGAAAACCAAAAATCCACGGAGTTTTCTTTCCAATTATCGAAAAAAGCGAAGAAATATTTGTGCCTGTTTTTTTTTATTTTATCTAAACCACTTTCGATTGTTTTTCTAGCCATTTTGAAGGGATTTTTTTATTTAATCTGAAAGATCTCCAGAGCTTATATTTAAAAAGCTGTTCGGCTTGTGATTTTTTGGTAAAGTTATGCAGGTTTAAATATTGCTAAATTGGGAAAATTTACGCGGGACAAAGTTTGTGCTATCATCGCGTAAGCGAAGATTTAATCCATCTTAAAAATCGTTCCAAACTAAAATGGGGCCGCTATGATATTTTGTTTTATGCGAAATTCTTTTGGTGTATTTGCATAGCTGTGGGCATGGATTTCAAAAAAGACAAAAACAACGTGAAATTATTTCTCATTTTATTGATTTTTTGAAACCAATATTACTACTCCATAGACGTCAAAGGGCGTTCGGAACATTCAGGGTGTCACCCTGATACAGGCAGTCTTGTTTCAAGTTTCAATTCAAATCTTTCCAATCAAGAGAGTTAGCTGAGACATCGAAATGCAAAAATTAGTTAACTTGGGTTTGCAGGTACAAACAAAACTGCACAACCAAAACGGCGTGGTACTTGTTAGCACCCCTGGTTGCTATGGTTGGACTTATCTTGGTCCCCATTTCGGCGTTCATAGTCAGAATTGACGATGGCATAAATGTGTACTGTTCGAACAAAAATGGAATCGTCGAGAATATGGTGGGAGTTGTGGGCATTCCGCCGATCTTGGCTGTGTCGGTGGCGACTCTGGCTCTGCTGTATATCATTCATGGGCGCAACAAGAAATCAAACAACGCAACTGACGATAAAGAGGTTAGAGTCAGGGGCGTTTATAGGATTGGGGCTCTTTTTCAAAACATTTTCAAAAATTTTGTCGACCTTTTTTCTTAGGTCGACAAAGTTGATTTTCTGAGCTCTTTGAGTTTTTAATTTTAGCTCATTATCTTCAAAGTAGGATCATGAGAGTAAAATTTTAAGCTGATCTATTTCAATCGACATTTTACTACCATTGAAGGAAAAAAAGCGATTCACTCAACTTATAAATCACAGATTTGGAATGAAGTATAAGTACAAAAATGTTAAGTACAGAGGGGGCAGACGTCCTTTTTTTCAAGGATTTGATCACCTGACTAGCCAAAGAGTCCCCCTTAGTACTATTTCAGGACCTCCATTTAGCTGGCTTACCCTAAAGTTATTCTAAAGACGCCTTCGTAACTAGATTTTTTGGCCGAAACTGTCCAAAAAAGACTACAATGCCGTTTTTGACATTTTGTTCAAAAACTTACCTGCGGCGCAAACATCTGGCCAAAAGAAAAACTTTTTTGCTTCAGGAGAGCTCGGAAAATCAATTGCGTCTACTCAAAAAAAGTTCAACAAAGTTATCAAATTTTTGTTTGAAAAATCAACACCCCCCCCCTGAAAAAAATCCTAGATCTTCTCCTAAATTTGAGTGAAAAACCATGGTTGTACTACGGGATAGACAGAAATGCTTTTTTGAGTAAATTGATTATTTGAGCACAGTATGTTGGTGATCAAAAACGAGCAAAATTTGTTTTATACAATTGTCATGTGTGAATGTTGTATGATCCACTTTTTTGATTTAGAAAACAAAACCATTGATTTTATAATCATAAAACTTTAAAACCGTAAAATAGACCAAAAATGTGCATAAAATTTGCATAAAAATAGTTTGCTTTCTTAACAATCTGTATGAAAATAGTATGATAAACAAATCTGCATACACTCCAGGTATGAAAATGTAATAAAGGGGCGATTTCAGGGAGTTTGGAGGCAGAGGCATACGCTTCCTCCTCCCTTCAAAGATTCAATTCCTTCGTCAACCCTTTTGTACTTATTTGTTGCAGAGACAATTCAACCACATACATTTCAGACTATTTCAACTATTTCAACTACAGACAGTTCAGCCACAAAAACTCTGACAAATCAACCAAAGACAGCTCATCCAATTTAGATCAAAGAAATCAAATCAAAACAAAATTAAAATTTCTAATTTGATTAGAACCAGGGTTTAAACTATTTAATATAGAAGTTTTTGACAAGGAAGAACAAATTTCAAAAATAAAAACGCACAAAAAATTCCGCTGTGAAAGTTTATGATATATCTTCATTAAAGGTGATTTTTAGGTTCTTTTGTAAATGGTCCCAATTTGTAGTTCTTTGCGTGTTGCTCAAGTTACTCGTTGACAAAGGAGTGTTAGGGTTTTGCCTTTCTAGTAATATTACCGGCCATCACTCTCTCTATATTGATGTCGACATTTTTTGCTCATCTTTAAAACGTGCTATGTAATTGAAGAGTGATGGAGGTATATCTGAAGCGTCTCTAATCGGAGCTTTTTGAAAAGCAATGTTAAATCACAAGGGAGAACGAATGCCAAGTAGGTAAAAATTTTGCAAAAAAAACATCGTCTGTGTACTTGCACGAAAATATATGTTTGTGTACATTTCGTCATAGTGACTTCGTATCATGCTGTATTCTTTTACACCAAAGAGATGAAGAGTCTTGGTTTTGTCGTTGCTTCATAAACAGGCAAGTCAATTTGTGCACTGAAAAAAACCTGCACGGGAGCGTTACCGTTGTTTGTGGCTTTTTCTCGGATTTCGTAGGCAAATTTCTTTGTTTGAATTTTTAATAGGTGCTCGGTTTTTAAGATAATTTTTTGCTGTTTGTCAAATTAACCCACCGTTTTGCTGTTTTTGAATGTACATTGTTGCCATTTAATAAAATTTTTTAAGATGAAGATGTTTTTTTCCGCGTGCAGATAGAATGAATTTCAAATACGTCAACTGCTGGTTAAAGTGAGTGAATGAGAGTGGTTCAGATGATAATCAAACATTCACTAAACCTATTTAATAATTGAAATTGACCAACTTTGACTGTACTAAAAGACCACTTGATTGCTTACATTAGGCCTTAAATTCGATACTGGTTTCTGGTTGAACCATGATTTATTCGCAATTACATTTTTCTTTCAAAAAATATCAAATTTCAACTTAATTTTTCAACCATTTTTTTTAAATTACTTGAAAGATGGTTGCATCCTACCACGCCTTAGGGCAATAATCGGTAGGGGTGTCTGAAAAAGCTTTGACTAATATCCTTTTGACCACCTGTAAAAATCATAATTTCGGTTCTAAATTCATGCTTGTTGATCGACGTTTGAGTATTTGTTCCTGCTTGATTTTTTTTCAGCGACTACTCCAAACTTGGAAACAATTTTAGTTGTCTAATATTACGTGAAATTAAGTAAGTATTGGTTCTGTTAAACTGAAATGTTTCATACGCATTTGAAAGGAGTTTTTTATAAGCCGTCTAAATAAAGCTTTGATGTTTTGTCGCAGTTGAAAACTTTTTGCCGGCACGTTTAAAAACATTAAAATTTTCTGAAAAATCTTTAGCCGAGTTGTCTCAGTCATTTTGATTGAACTGTCCTAATTTGAAAATGGCTGAGTTGTCTCACCGCAGTGTCTGAATGCGATTAACTTATGACATCCATTTTTTGGCCGACCTACGTTTCTTTTTTTCTAAAAGCGCCTTGGGCACCTATACGGTTGTTTTGATTTGCCATTTTTTGATCAAAACTCTTCAAAACGTGCACCAAACTGGCTTTTCTGACCTATATTTTGCAAAAATTTGCCTGCGATGCAGAAAGTTTTGTTAAAATAGGGTTCTTAAATATTGTGATAGTGCTCCGAAAATCAGTTTAGCCGACCTAAGAAGAATTCGTCAAAATTTATTCGAGAACGCCGCTAAGAGAACGATCTGATTTCTTTAACAAAAATCTTCACCAGGGTTGTGAATTTAATTTTTACCACGCAAAATGTCTCAAGGGAAAAAAGCTTAAATTGAGAAATCTGATGATCGCTGCTAATTTTTTTCTACAACCACTTCAAAGTCAAGTATAATGCGTATCGCGGATTCATCTTTCGAAATACTCATTTTCGAAATACTCAAGATTCGTGTTGCGTCAAAACGTCTACTTTTATCCTCATCACGCAAAACGTAAGCAATGGGTGTAAGACATCTTTGAACTGGAACGTACATAGCGTATATTTAAAAAATATAGTATGAACAGTAGAAAAACTTCAGACATAGGGTCGCAAAAAGAGTTTGTCGCGGCGTTACGTCCGAGGTACTCCTCGATCTTTACGATTTACTGAACCCACGTTTTTTGATGGGGCAGGAATGGGAAAGCAGCAGTGATTATCCACAGTTGTTTCCTATTTTCTTTTTTGTCCGAATACGTTCATAACAATTGTTTTGTGCGCAGCGCCATGAAATTGGTTTATACGGCAGAACTCGTTGTTTAAATTGAGTATATCTTTTAAAATGCGATAGATCAAATGTTTTGATGGTAAATAATATTTTCATCCTTTTTTGGAGATTTTTACAACAATGGACTGCCACCAAGTGTTTCCAGAAACAAACAAAACTGCTCGTATCAGGGCGAGTCCCTGAATGTTCCGACTGCCTTTTAAAGTTTATGGAGCAGCAGTAATAACAAAAAAAATAAATGTAATAAAATAAAATGAAATTTTTTCTTCTGAAATTTGAATCTTTTTTAATGAAAAACATCCCCCCACACACCATATAAAGTACAAAAAGATAAATTTCGCTCCTTGTAACAAATCAATTATGGCAAATAAGCTTCTTTCAACCAATTTGGAACAATTTCTAAGACGGATTAACTCTCCGCTTACGCGTTAATAGCGCGAAATATATCGCGCGTTGATTGTCCCAAATTGGCCAAAATGGCAATCTTTAAACCCCCGTGACTTTACAAAAAATGATCACAGATGAAATATATTTTCAAATTTGAGCTCAGGACAACAATACCTTTCGAATGATATGAAAAACATTCCGTCAAAAATGGCTAGTTAAAAAGTCGAAATTTGTCTGAAGAAAAAAAAACCCACCCCGAGCACATATATTCCGTTATTTTCGTATCGAAAGTCGGAACAATAAAATGATCAAATAGTTTATTAATCGTCGGAAAAAGCTGTTTGTTGTGGTAACTTAATTGTTTTGCTGATCGTTGGACATAATGCAATTATCTAGATAGTTTTAATTTCTCTGCCATGCATATATTTGTCAACCAGATTAGTTAAAGCAAATTTAAAAATTTTTCTAGGTGACAAGGTCACTTTTAAAATTAATCCGACAAAATCTTTTTCTATCACTATAGGACACAAATGCAATTTTTACCAATGGGTTTTGTACTGGACTGTTCTTGCTGGGCTCTGATATGATTTTTTGAAAAAAAATATCCAGGATTGTTTAGTTATATCTTGAAAACCAAAAATCCACGGAGTTTTCTTTCCAATTATCGAAAAAAGCGAAGAAATATTTGTGCCTGGGTTTTTTATATTTTATCCAAACCACTTTCGATTGTTTTTCTAGCCATTTTGAAGGGATTTTTTTTATTTAATCTGAAAGATCTCCAGAGCTTATATTTAAAAAGCTTTTCGGCTTGTGATTTTTTCGTAAAGTTATGCAAGTTTAAATATTGCTAAATTGGGAAAATTTACGCGGGACAAAGTTTGTGCTATCATCGCGTAAGCGAAGATATAATCCATCCTAGAAATCGTTCCAAACTAAAATGGAGCTGCTATGCTATTTTGTTTTATGCGAAATGATTGTTTAGTTATATCTGGAAAACCAAAAATCCACTTTAGCCAATGGGTCTCTTTTAAACGGCTTTGTACTGGACTGTTCTTGCTGGGCTCTGATATGATTTTTTGAAAAAAAATATCCAGGATTGTTTAGTTATATCTTGAAAACCAAAAATCCACGGAGTTTTCTTTCCAATTATCGAAAAAGCGAAGAAATATTTGTGCCTGTTTTTTTTTATTTTATCTAAACCATTTTCGATTGTTTTTCTAGCCATTTTGAAGGGATTTTTTAAATTTAATCTGAAAGATCTCCAGAGCTTATATTTAAAAAGCTTTTCGGCTTGTGATTTTTTCGTAAAGTTATGCAAGTTTAAATATTGCTAAATTGGGAAAATTTACGCGGGACAAAGTTTGTGCTATCATCGCGTAAGCGAAGATATAATCCATCCTAGAAATCGTTCCAAACTAAAATGCTATGCTATTTTGTTTTATGCGAAATGATTGTTTAGTTATATCTGGAAAACCAAAAATCCACTTTAGCCAATGGGTCTTTTTTAAACGGTTTTGTACTGGACTGTTCTTGCTGGGCTCTGATATGATTTTTTGAAAAAAAATATCCAGGATTGTTTAGTTATATTTTGAAAACCAAAAATCCACGGAGTTTTCTTTCCAATTATCGAAAAAAGCGAAGAAATATTTGTGCCTGTTTTTTTTTATTTTATCTAAACCACTTTCGATTGTTTTTCTAGCCATTTTGAAGGGATTTTTTTATTTAATCTGAAAGATCTCCAGAGCTTATATTTAAAAAGCTGTTCGGCTTGTGATTTTTTGGTAAAGTTATGCAGGTTTAAATATTGCTAAATTGGGAAAATTTACGCGGGACAAAGTTTGTGCTATCATCGCGTAAGCGAAGATTTAATCCATCTTAAAAATCGTTCCAAACTAAAATGGGGCCGCTATGATATTTTGTTTTATGCGAAATTCTTTTGGTGTATTTGCATAGCTGTGGGCATGGATTTCAAAAAAGACAAAAACAACGTGAAATTATTTCTCATTTTATTGATTTTTTGAAACCAATATTACTACTCCATAGACGTCAAAGGGCGTTCGGAACATTCAGGGTGTCACCCTGATACAGGCAGTCTTGTTTCAAGTTTCAATTCAAATCTTTCCAATCAAGAGAGTTAGCTGAGACATCGAAATGCAAAAATTAGTTAACTTGGGTTTGCAGGTACAAACAAAACTGCACAACCAAAACGGCGTGGTACTTGTTAGCACCCCTGGTTGCTATGGTTGGACTTATCTTGGTCCCCATTTCGGCGTTCATAGTCAGAATTGACGATGGCATAAATGTGTACTGTTCGAACAAAAATGGAATCGTCGAGAATATGGTGGGAGTTGTGGGCATTCCGCCGATCTTGGTTGTGTCGGTGGCGACTCTGGCTCTGCTGTATATCATTCATGGGCGCAACAAGAAATCAAACAACGCAACTGACGATAAAGAGGTTAGAGTCAGGGGCGTTTATAGGATTGGGGCTCTTTTTCAAAACATTTTCAAAAATTTTGTCGACCTTTTTTCTTAGGTCGACAAAGTTGATTTTCTGAGCTCTTTGAGTTTTTAATTTTAGCTCATTATCTTCAAAGTAGGATCATGAGAGTAAAATTTTAAGCTGATCTATTTCAATCGACATTTTACTACCATTGAAGGAAAAAAAGCGATTCACTCAACTTATAAATCACAGATTTGGAATGAAGTATAAGTACAAAAATGTTAAGTACAGAGGGGGCAGACGTCCTTTTTTTCAAGGATTTGATCACCTGACTAGCCAAAGAGTCCCCCTTAGTACTATTTCAGGACCTCCATTTAGCTGGCTTACCCTAAAGTTATTCTAAAGACGCCTTCGTAACTAGATTTTTTGGCCGAAACTGTCCAAAAAAGACTACAATGCCGTTTTTGACATTTTGTTCAAAAACTTACCTGCGGCGCAAACATCTGGCCAAAAGAAAAACTTTTTTGCTTCAGGAGAGCTCGGAAAATCAATTGCGTCTACTCAAAAAAAGTTCAACAAAGTTATCAAATTTTTGTTTGAAAAATCAACACCCCCCCCCCCCCTGAAAAAAATCCTAGATCTTCTCCTAAATTTGAGTGAAAAACCATGGTTGTACTACGGGATAGACAGAAATGCTTTTTTGAGTAAATTGATTATTTGAGCACAGTATGTTGGTGATCAAAAACGAGCAAAATTTTTTCTATACAATTGTCATGTGTGAATGTTGTATGATCCACTTTTTTGATTTAGAAAACAAAACCATTGATTTTATAATCATAAAACTTTAAAACCGTAAAATAGACCAAAAATGTGCATAAAATTTGCATAAAAATAGTTTGCTTTCTTAACAATCTGTATGAAAATAGTATGATAAACAAATCTGCATACACTCCAGGTATGAAAATGTAATAAAGGGGCGATTTCAGGGAGTTTGGAGGCAGAGGCATACGCTTCCTCCTCCCTTCAAAGATTCAATTCCTTCGCCAACCCTTTTGTACTTATTTGTTGCAGAGACAATTCAACCACATACATTTCAGACTATTTCAACTATTTCAACTACAGACAGTTCAGCCACAAAAACTCTGACAAATCAACCAAAGACAGCTCATCCAATTTAGATCAAAGAAATCAAATCAAAACAAAATTAAAATTTCTAATTTGATTAGAACCAGGGTTTAAACTATTTAATATAGAAGTTTTTGACAAGGAAGAACAAATTTCAAAAATAAAAACGCACAAAAAATTCCGCTGTGAAAGTTCATGATATATCTTCATTAAAGGTGAAAATTTTTAGGTTCTTTTGTAAATGGTCCCGATTTGTAGTTCTTTGCGTGTTGCTCAAGTTACTCGTTGTCAAAGGAGTGTTAGGGTTTTGCCTTTCTAGTAATATTACCGGCCATCACTCTCTCTATATTGATGTCGACATTTTTGCTCATCTTTAAAACGTGCTATGTAATTGAAGAGTGATGGAGTATATCTGAAGCGTCTCTAATCGGAGCTTTTTGAAAAGGAATGTTAAATCACAAGGGAGAACGAATGCCAAGTAGGTAAAATTTTTGCAAAAAAAACCATCGTCTGTGTACTTGCACGAAAATCTATGTTTGTGTACATTTCGTCATAGTGACTTCGTATCATGCTGTATTCTTTTACACCAAAGAGATGAAGAGTCTTGGTTTTGTCGTTGCTTCATAAACAGGCAAGTCAATTTGTGCACTGAAAAAAAACCTGCACGGGAGCGTTACCGTTGTTTGTGGCTTTTTCTCGGATTTCGTAGGCAAATTTCTTTGTTTGAATTTTTAATAGGTGCTCGGTTTTTAAGATAATTTTTTGCTGTTTGTCAAATTAACCCACCGTTTTGCAGTTTTTGAATGTACATTGTTGCCATTTAATAAAATTTTTTAAGATGAAGATGTTTTTTTCCGCGTGCAGATAGAATGAATTTCAAATACGTCAACTGCTGGTTAAAGTGAGTGAATGAGAGTGGTTCAGATGATAATCAAACATTCACTAAACCTATTTAATAATTGACATTGACCAACTTTGACTGTACTAAAAGACCACTTGATTGCTTACATTAGGCCTTAAACTCGATACTGGTTTCTGGTTGAACCATGATTTATTCGCAATTACATTTTTCTTTCAAAAAATATCAAATTTCAACTTAATTTTTCAACCATTTTTTTTAAATTACTTGAAAGATGGTTGCATCCTACCACGCCTTAGGGCAATAATCGGTAGGGGTGTCTGAAAAAGCTTTGACTAATATCCTTTTGACCACCTGTAAAAATCATAATTTCGGTTCTAAATTCATTCTTGTTGATCGACGTTTGAGTATTTGTTCCTGCTGGATTTTTTTCAGCGACTACTCCAAACTTGGAAACAATTTTAATTGTCTAATATTACGTGAAATTAAGTAAGTATTGGTTCTGTTAAACTGAAAGGTTTCATACGCATTTGAAAGGAGTTTTTTATAAGCCGTCTAAATAAAGCTTTAATGTTTTGTCGCAGTTGAAAACTTTTTGCCCGCACGTTTAAAAATATTAAAATTTTCTGAAAAATCTTTAGCCGAGTTGTCTCAGTCATTTTGATTGAACTGTCCTAATTTGAAAATGGCTGAGTTGTCTCACCGCAGTGTCTGAATGCGATTAATTTATGACATCCATTTTTTGGCCGACCTACGTTTCTTTTTTCTAAAAGCGCCTTGGGCACCTATACGGTTGTTTTGATTTGCCATTTTTTGATCAAAACTCTTCAAAACGTGCACAAAACTGGCTTTTCTGACCTATATTTTGCAAAAATTTGCCTGCGATGCAGAAAGTTTTGTTAAAATAGGGTTCTTAAATATTGTGATAGTGCTCCGAAAATCAGTTTAGCCGACCTAAGAAGAATTCGTCAAAATTTATTTGACCTGAAAAATGGTCGACAAAAAAGGTCGATTCACCTGTTTTGGGTGGCAACGGACGCAACTTAATTCCCCACCCCGGCTCTGGGAATCTTGTGAATTTTGTAGGGAGTTTGCTCGTGCTTACAAATTTGGATAGAGTGGCTCTATCATTTTGAGCACCTTGAGGAAATCCTAGATCCAGCCCTGGATAAGCAGTCTTTTTCTTTTTCGGGAGGTGAACTCGGGGCAGCAGCTCAAAAAAACTCGTAAAAATATTTGGATTAACTGCAAAATTTTCCTTCAGTTGTAATTTTCCGTACAATCTCCTCCTTGCTATTTATGTTCCAGGTAATTCTGGCTCTCACTGGCACTTCAGCTTTGTATGCCGTGTTCGGGATCATTTCGAACGGCTTCATTTTCTTCGCCTACTGGATGGTGGATGCGGATTCCGTGAACGAGCACATTGTCTTCATGTCTATTGGCCAGCTGGTCAACACTCTGGGAATAATCTCGAGAAGTCCAATTCTTCTACTCATGAAGCCCATGCGAGATGCTTTCAAACGTGGCTTGAAACTCGCGCTCGGAAATTGAACTTTCTACTGGGAAAAGTAACGCATTGAAGAGAGATTTTGAGGAATCTACTTAACAATTTCTCCATTTTGCTCGCTCTCATTTTGGTTTTGTTTAAAGCTAAATAAGCATTATGCATACCAACAGTTAACAATTTTACACGCTTTGCGCTGCTAATGTTGGCTTTGATAAGTTTTATTGTCCAGCTGAACGTTTTTTTCCATTAAATAGAAAAATTGTTTCAAGTTATTCGAATATCATGGTGGTTAAATCGACTCGCTTTTTTCTTTTTTTTTGATCTTTTTTTATTAAATAGAAAATATGTTTCAAGTTATTCGAATATCATAGTGGTTAAATCGACTCGCTTTTTTTCTTTTCTTAAGTCTTTTTTTCATGAAATAGAAAATATTTTCAAATTAATCGTATATAGCGGTAAAATGAATTTGTTTTATTCTTCTTTCTTTTTGCTTTTTTTCATTAAATGGAAATAAATTTCAAATTCTTCCATTGGTGGTTTTTTGTGGAAATTCAGCCGAATTTCCACGAATATTGGTGGTTTGGAAAAAGATGAGAAATTGTTAAGAAGATCTTTTCTCAGAACTGTTTCCCTGCATAGCCCCTAATTGATATTGTAACTCACCCTTCGGCCTTCACCTTCCCCGTGAGAGGAAAATTGAAATGAAAACTAAATCTATCCTAACTGTACCATCAAAAATTTTTCTTGGTTCAATTGAAAAATTCTTGGACATAATCTTTGTACTAGGAAACCAGAAATTACGAGCAGACTTTGTTTTTTCAATTAGTATTGAGACGCTTGAATTAAAATCCGGTAAAGTGTTAAATAAAAAAAAGCAGAGCCAATAGACAGCTGGAAATACCATTTGGAACCTGATCTAAACTACATTTTATGATTGGATAAATTAGATATTTTACCAATGTAAAGTATTTAATATTAACCAATCATGATCCATCTAACTAACAATCCACTTATTTGTAAGTGCTGAAATTACTTGTAATTTCAGCACCAGAGAGATTTGAATTTAACTTAGAAATTAGTTGAACTCTCCCGAGTACTTCAGCAGCCGCAATAAACCAGTATACCCTAGATCTATTGAGCCTAGCAGAGACTAGTTAAACAACCTGAGACTAGACAGTATAAGAGTAAGATTAGGATCGGTATTAGACTAAGAAGTTGCACGAATCTATCCGGCCGAAAATAAGATAGCGTGACGAGCAGACGGTGTACCCTATCCGAAATTACTCTATGAGTTATACCCATCGGTCCTAACTCATCTGGTGCGACCATAAGTCTCGAACAAGACCTTAATAGCTTAGAATTAACCAATAATAGATTAGAATTTAGACAAAACATTTACAAAATGTTATACGACAATAATTTAATCGAAATGTCTCTACGACTCAATAGATCAGAGCCAATATTCCGAACGAAAACAGAACTACCCGGAATTGGAAGAAGACCTCGAACCAGAGACGACATACGACAAAGCAGAAACTTACCATATAGTTATATGATAGTTCGGCAAAAGCCAGAACAAACTTTTGTATTTAGAATACTACTAGCAATGAATTTAGATTTTCATTTGCAAACATAAAATTTTGAAGTCAATCTTCAAAATCATTTCAGGCGCTAAACAAAATTATTAATATACAATAACGATTGATAAAAAGATCTCAGATCGTTTTCCTAAATTCTGCAGTAATATACAAAACATGTTTGAAAAATATTTATTGAAAAATCAAAATAAAAATTAGTAGCATGACAATAAACGGTTAGTAATTATAAATCATCCTGTTGTTCCAGCTTCATCGCCTAAACATAACAGCATTCATAAGCTCACTAATATCATAAAAATACTAAATCTATTCTTTACACAAATTTGAAACATTTTAAACTTAAATTCACTTAATTTTAAAATCAGATCATCAAGGCTTATCCTTGGATCTTAAATCATTTTCTATTTAATTAAATTTAAAACTTGATCATCAAGGCCTATCCTTGGATCAAAAAGAACAACTTTGTTCTCCCCCACCCACTTAACTAGTGTCTAACGACCTCAAACGTCGATTCACTATCGAACGCTTTCTAAAAACCCAGGACTAATAGAAATTTTTGAACAAAACTAATCATTCAAATTAGGATAAACAGTGAAGAACTTCGGTTATTCATCCTTCACTTGATCCCCCCTCTTACCAGACCCAGGATAAATCTTAAACTTAGTAAGTTTAAAATAGTATCTAACGAACTACTCGCGTTCTAATTATACCTGAACCTTGTGGATCGATTTACTATTCTCCAACCCTGAACACAATCACTACCCTTAAGTAAGATTAAGTAAGTTAACACCTTAGCTTATACTATCCACGAGAAAGTATAAAATCATTCTTCGGAATCGATATACTTTTCTCCCCAACCCTGAACAAATAGACCCAGGTTAGGCTAACAAAAAAATCGTAAGGACTAACAGTTTAAGCAAATAGAAATCATTTAACAACCTTTTGCATCCGTCATCCTAAACCTTATGTCATTTAAAAACCTAGGAAATAAACAAACAATCGTTTTACACAATTGTGAAAGAGATAATAAAAAATACGACCTTGTAATCACACCTCATACACAAACAGTTGGATACATTAGAACAAAACGACAAACATTAAAGAGAAAAATAATAACTAAACAAAGACAAATAACACGAAAAAGATTTTCAAAAAATCGAAACGCATTTTCAGAATCAGAAACCAACAGTTTAGACGAACTTTATAAATTAAAAGAATCAATAGATAAAAATTGCCCAATTCACGATCAATTATATTTCTCTGACTCAGAAACAACTTCAAATTCATCAAAAAGAGGAAAAAGAAGAATAAAAAAGCAGTATAAACACAAACCAGTACATTTATACAATTGGAATCAACCAATTAGACACATTGATAATTACATATTAACAGTCATCGAACGAAAAAATGAGCTCAACGCACACCCCAGGTGAAGAAAGTCCAGATGATGATGATATTTTCCCCTTTATCGTAGATGCAACCACTGATAGAGGACAGCATATATTCTGCAAAAATTTACTCTTAAATTTGTTTGAACCCGGAATCAGTCCATGTAAAACAGAGTTCCCAGATGTAAAAATCAAAAGACAAATTATCGATCACTATCTAAAAGATATATGTAACCTAACACAACAATACGGAATCTACTCCATAGAATTCAGCTCACCAAACCAGAATCACAGTAAATATATAATTCAAACAGACGACCATGATTTAGAATTCTCAAAAGTATTCTCAGATTATATAAAAAGCATCCAATATCATAACTCACAAAGAGCAAACTCCATATTCACCAATGAAGTTTTTGCGATAATATATAGTTATATCTCGATATTAGAAAACGAAATCCAGATACCAAATGTCTCACCGACAGAAACATCTAAACATATAAGAGTACGACATGAAATCACACTACTCTCTAGTTTTCTAAATATAATTAAAGAAAATTTCACGAAAGATGAAGTTTCACAACATACAAAACACGACTTACAAAAAATCTTAGCATGGTTCATAATAGATTATTTCACACATAATATTGATTTAATTTCACAAGCAAGAAAAAATTTTAGACCCCAAAACTCAAACGATGATACTGCCATCACAGAACAATCAGACTATGTTTGGGACCCCGAATGGTCTCATCCCGCATCCATAAACTTCCCACAATCAATCTCAAGTCAAGCAATAAGTACGATATCTTATGTAAGAGATTATGTACGAGTAATACCATTAACCATTGATGCAACACCATTAAACTATAATACATTTTTACCCGATATGCAAAATAATAGTTTAAACTCTACAGTCATACACAATGAAAACCTCAATGGAACTAGGAATCTTACTCAACAAGATATCCAGACACCATCACACTTCATAAATGAAGAAATCGTACACACAACAACTACACAACAAAGTATTTCACCTATACGTCCAAACTTAACAACACCAAGAAATACAAATCCTTCACAAACACAGGTAACATTACAATCAACCGTTAAACCTTCGGTTGCCCCAAAATATTCACACATGGATTACCAAACATACAGACCCATGACAATACCGCCAAAAACACGCAAAACGTTCACCAGAAACAACTTTGCAGACCATAATTATAATTACACACATCCATCAAAAACAAATTATCAACCACGAAAAAATTTTAGTAATTATACAAGATCTCGAAACTGGGATAACCCAATGGCACCACCTAATTCAGTAAATTTCCAAACAAATTTACATCCTCCACAGGATCGTAGTGAAAACTATCCATTTTTTCAACAAAATAAAAATAAAAAACAAACATCTTATCAAATGGATTACTTATCCTCAGATGATGATTTCTTACAACCAGATATATTTACACCCTATAATCAAGAATATCGTGGACAAGGAATACAGAAACCACATACATATAATAGAATTTTTTCTCCACAACCAATAGATACACAAAACCAACAACCAATTCAGCAACAAAACCCAATGATTGCAAACTCGTACCAACCAGCAGAAATGCAAAATGAAATACCACTCCCATATTATCTTCAACAACACGAAATAACAAGAAATCAACTTTCAAATTTTTCTCAAATGCCAAATGCAGCAGAATCATTACAAATGACGATGAATCCATACCTTATGGGTAAATCATCAATAACATCAAATAAACCTTTAATGGTATTCACAGGAACAGACCCTGAATATTCTGTAGAAGACTATTTAAATGCAGTCACAGCAAATTTGATTTTAAATATAGGACCTGAACCAATTAATACGCCACTACATCAAAACTGGATACATCGACGCACAGCGTTAATACAAACAACTCTAGATGGCGCAGCCCAAAAATGGTTTTCAGTATTGCCTATAGAAATAAAATCAAATTGGAAAAGGTTTACACAAGAATTTTCAAAAATGTTTGACTCCGAAAGAAACAAACAACAACAAAGAGTTTTATGTAATGAAATTCGCAGATTACCAAACGAAACCATCAAGCAATTAGCAGTACGAATCGAAAC